GCCTAAGATAACCTGATTATACTACTCAGAATAATACTCTGATTAGTTTAACCCCGACCTACCCTAGACCCTGTCCAGTATAAGTCACCCAACCGTCATACCTTCGTTACTGCATCAAGCTCTTCTGTAGATAGCCGCAATATAACAATTCTCCCTGTCCTGCAACCAATCACAATATTTGACCCATAACAGGCCCATTTCCCCTCGCGACATTCTGGTGGGAGCCACAGAGTGTTCTCCCTTCGCCAGGTAACCCAAGATACTGTATCATCGACGGCGAGATCTTGGAATAAGTCAAAGTTGGAAAGGGGAGATGATGTTGCAAGAGGGGCAATTGCGTCATCGAGTGCAATCACCCCAGCGTCTGTACCAAGGCTCTGGCTATCAGGCAAGAAGTATAGCTTACGGGCAAGCCGCCCAATCTGGACGACACGTCTACACTCGCCCGTCTCGATGCTCCAGATCCGTACTGTATTATCGGGCACGAATCGATGAGAATTTCCCGTCAACCTGGGTTTACTTTGAATTTTCAATGCCCCGTATTCCATCTGGATTCGAAGAAATCAATTGCCATTCACTTCGACCCTTTACTCGGGCTAAGAATCTATTTTCTATCAGTCTTTACCTCTTACTGTATTCTATTTCTGTTTGCACTATAGTTAGCTACACCTCATCCAAAAACAGTTGAGTAAAAAAGCGGATACTCCTTTCGGCCAACCCTGTACTAATTTGTAAATGATATATTTAAGGAGAAAGGTATGTATATACATAGCAAGATTCATAATCAGATAACTAAAATTCGCTTTGCCGAAGCAAGGGCGAGGTGCGATTCTCTTCTCCAGCGCTATGGTTGTTTTTCCGACTCTGAATCCACCCAATCCGGATCCCAAATTTAGGGCCACAATAGAACTAATATATAGGCTCAGTCAGACCTAAATTCAGGATCTAGCCGCTTGAGCCTTTAGTTTATTATAGCAGCTTTTCCTATAGATAATATAGCTTGTATATAGAGAACTGGATACCTGATATTATATCCAGTCTAGTATACTTATATATATAACTCTCGTTAAGCCTTTAACCCTGCTCTTCTTTTAGTCTTTCTGACTGTTAAATAGATTAGTCAGACTTCTTTAAACCCTGTCTTCTTATAGTATTAGTTATTTTATTAGGTATATCTATATAAACTGGAAATAATTCAGTCTTAGTAGTAGATATATCCTTTAAATAATAAGTCGAGCTATTTAGCTGGGCTGTAGTCTCAGAGTTACTTCAGTATAGCTTGGGTTTTTATACTGAGTTAAAATTAGTAGTAATTAGATCTGGTCTAATAATAGTACTTCCTTAAGAACTCTAGTTTATTAAATTTAGTATATTAAATATAGCTAGAGCTATCTTAATATTAACAGGAGGGAGGGGGGAGTTATATAGACTGAAAAGTATTCTAAATATAAATATAATATAAGATAAGAAGAAATAAAAGGCCGGGATATCAGTAAGTATTATAAGCTTAAATACTTATTTATAGTATAAGTATATAATAGAGCTCTCCGATCCAAACGGAAAGATATTCGTTAATATAATATAGGCCGCCTTATATAATATTCGAAAACAGGGAGGAAATACAGCTATATATCCCAGATTGCCCCTTTAGAATAAATTTCCCTAGAATTTACTACTATATACTATCCCCTTCTATACCTATATACGCCCCCTTTTATACTTATATATACCCCCTCTATAAGGACTATATACAGAGTCCTATATAATAATATCATATAAGCTGAGGTATCTTAATCCTTTATAGGTAGAGAATAATAAGCTTCTTAGATTAATTCAGTCCCTATAATTAGTTCAATTATAGATAATACAAGGAGGTCTATATAGGGGGGTAATTATGCCTAAGGCAGGAGGACTGTTCTTATATCACCCCGATAAAAGATATATAAGTAACTGGCTTCCGGGGATTTTTCATTCGCTTTGTTTTGTTTTTTATTAATCCCAATTCTCCGCAAATCTCTGGTAGATTACCTGGGGTCAGAAGAGCTCAAAACTAAATATCTTTATCTACTGCTGTCCAACCACTCGTAACCGAGCAAGAGATCTTCCCTGGCGATATATCCCTAGAGGGTAATCACAACGAGCTAATACCTGTATAGTCTAGGCCGCGCTGAATATATCGTCTAACCTAGAAAGTTAAGGATCTAAGCTCTTAGTCCAAAGTCCTTAGGAGTGCGGGTCGGTTAGGTAATAAACAGTAGGGACAGGGTTAAAAGCAGTAGCGGGCCAGGCCGGGCGTTTCCCCAGTAATTATACGGTATTACTAATAACGGATTAAGAGAATACTCAGTATAAACCACATATACAGGCCCAGGTACTACTCCAGAGCAGATTTCTAGATAGGAATAGTTATATTAAGCTTCTAATACTCAAGGAACTAAGGTTACTTAAGGAAGATAATTAGGATAAGTTTAACCAAGCAATTGATATTTGTAATAAAATGTAATAAGTTGATAATTTCATAAACATCAAATAGTTCTATAGGTTACAATTATGATGCAGTCATTTTAGCACTGCATGATAAGAAGCGCTAGTTGCATGAACCGGCTCAGCGACTAAACGACTAACAAATAAATAGTAAATATTGGGTTGATGTTGAACGATTGATGTGTTCCCCAATATGAATGCATGGAAATGCAGCGACTGAAGAGAGATTTAAATTTTCTAGGAGGGTAGGAATTTATGGGAGGGCCAGAATTGGGCATTCTCAGATCAACTAGTACCAGTACCTCAAGGCTTGAGGCTGATGCTACCACTTTGGAGTCGTGTGAGAATACTACCGATCTGACCGAATCGCCATGGCCCTCCAAAACTTGCTGGCACTCGCCCGTCTCGATGCTCCAGATCCGTACCGTATTATCGTCTGAGGCTGATGCCACCACTTTGGAGTCGTGTGAGAATACTACCGATCTGACCCAATCGCTATGGCCCTCTAGAACTTGCTGACACTCGCCTGTCTCGATGCTCCAGATCCGAACTGTCTTATCGTCTGAGGCTGATGCTACCACTTTAGAGTCGTGTGAGAACACTACCGAACTGACCCAATCGCTATGGCCCTCCAGAACTTGCTGGCACTCGCCCGTCTCGATGCTCCAGATCCGTACCGTATTATCGTTTGAGGCTGATGCCAACACAGCAAAAAAAGACCGGTCAACTGGGTTTCCTGAGCCATTTGGCCAATCTAATACCACTTGGCCACACCCGCAAGCAGATCTATCGCCTAATCCGATTTTATGGCAAGAAGACTTGCAGAGAAGGCAACTTACTCTTCGGCTTCGCCTACTTACTGAGCTCAAGGCTAGAAAATTCAAGTTATCAAGTGAAGGTAGCTCTACTTCTAGGATTATGCCAGGGGGATGTTCATGTCTCTGACAATAATCAATGTTGAGATTACCAAGCCAAAAAGCTCGATATGGGCAGTAGGAAAGAAATAGTATGCAGCATGTTAAGCAATACTAACTATAGCACTATATTGAAACCGCTGGCATCCCTAAACCCGTTTATATATTAGAGATCCTGTCGAAGATGACCTTTTTGGCTAATAGCATGTCAGTATGGGGTCAATTCTACTCACTCAGGGGGTTCATAGTTAGTAACTCACAAACAGGAAACGGTCCCCACTTGCTCCCATTCTCTGCCAAGTACATCTTGAATGCGCTATTTACCGTCTTGCTCTTCATCTCTCCAGCAGGACCTGGCGCTCTTCTGAGATTGCTCAATCGAGCACAAACACGCAGCATGCTAGCACCAGCAACAGTCACAATCGGGCGACCAAGACATGAATGAGGACCCCAGCCGTGGTGGATGTACAGATCATCCGGCCGATCCAGCTTGATCTCGTATGGATCAGGAAATTTGGAAGGATCCACACCAGCCGTCACGAAGTCCGTGAATATAGAGTCACCTTTCTTCACAGTCACAACGCGAGGGCCATCTTTCAAATCTGCTTTGTCTGCAACGACCGTTCGGAGTAGCCCAAATGCTGGAGTTGAGAGGCGGAAGCTGTGGCCTGTAAGCAATGTTTCTTGCAAGGAAGAATTTGGAAACGAGACACGTACCCTTCCAAGGCGTACTTTTTCAATTTATCGAAGGCGTCCGGCTCGTCCGACATGGCAAGCTTCTGGATATCAGGCCAATGAGAGTAGTACTTGTCAGACAAGTATAAGTCAATCATTTGACCCCACTAGACATTCAGTTAGATCTGCTGTATTTCACCACGAACAGAATGTACTTACTCCCTGCGCCTGGGTAGCACATGCTGCAGCAGCTGTGGGAATAATTGTCCACACAGTATCGTCGACCTCTTTCCCGGACCCGAGCAGTCTATTGGTTAGCTCTGCGCCGTAGCTTTTTAGAGCCCCATCGCCGGAGGCTGTCTGCATAAGATGATGGAACGAAGGGAACAGTTGCCCTCTAGTCCCTGCAACTATCGTTTGCATTTTCTCGCCAAGTTCTTTCGTCTTTGCTGCAGCTACAACGCGATTCTTGAATGACTCCGCAGTATCCAAGTCAAGGAAAACGTAACCGAAGAGATCAGCAAGTGCATCACTCAGCGCCCTGGCTGTGTACCCTTCGGGTCCAGCTCCATTTTCCTGGAGAGGGATTTCGAAGAACTGAGAAACAAAATGTGCGTGGACAAGGTTTCCAATGCTTTAACACGTTAGTAGCTCAACGACCACGACGATTTTGACTCGCACGCTTACTCTTTTACTATATCCACCTGGTAGGATTCGCCGATATTCCGGCTATTCCGGCGAATCAGCTTGGCGGTGATGGACTCATAAAACTGCCTCACTTCCTCGAGTCCCTTCTCTGGACTGTAGAGACACCCCTTGACAAAATTTCTTTGCTCGGTATCCGCGGGGGTGTCCCCGCTGAGCATATAGCCATGGTGGGTAAGCTGGAATGTGTGATTGCCCCCTGCTACATTGTGAGTCTCGATAAAAAGGGTTAAGAAGTAAATGGGAATCACTCACATGGTACATGAAAGCGCTCCTGGTCGCTGAGCACATCAACCACCCCCTGCCACGTAACTATTGGACTCGGCGGCCCAACAAACGAAGGCTTGCTGAAGTCCAGGTTCTGCGATGTACCGAGATTCTTGGAGATCTCTAGGGTTGCTTCGGGTACGGTGAAAGGATATAGAGCGTACACGCTATTTGCGCGGTACCACCCAGGGAATGCCCGCATCAAGAGCTTATACATCACTCCGCCGCCAGCTATATCAAAATCAGAACTGACCTCCGTGTAGCTGCTTCAGTGTGAGAGTAGTGCATCTTATAGTTTTGAATGAGATATCTTACCCGAAGCTAGTTAGATTGGATGGACTGTAGTCGACCGTGAAAAACCGATCACCGCGGACAAGGGCAACAGCATCAGACAGGATTGCGAAAGAGGTGGTGAATCCAGGACAGAAACCAGATCCCGGCGCTATGGGCTTCTTAGTGTCTTCCGCCAGAAGCCCTGGATAGAGTTCGACGTTATCTGGTTGCCCATACATTGCCTCCACTATTCTTTGTCAGTAATTCTCCTTATCTATGCAGCCTAGGAGGTGTGATCATCTTACGCGCTTCAGCGATAGACGGGTCAGGATTCATATCCGCTAGATACAAGTTAGCATGAGTCGCCATTCACATTGCATGTGGTAGACTTACTGAACTTTGTGTATGGCTTCAACTTGAAGAAAGCCCTGAATTCATTCAACGTTGCTAAACCCCACTCACGGCCTTGTTGTATCCCGTAGACCTCGATAGCCTTGAAGACACGGGGAATGTTTCTAGCCCCAAACGCTCCTAGGATGAGAGAGATATCTGTTAATACACTTCACTAGCCGGTGGCAGAGCTTATAGCGGGAATACTTGCCAGCAACATTCTCAGTTCCTGCTTGCAGAAGCCGAACCAATTCGGCATCTGGAAATGTCCCATCTTCTTGCCGTGTCATATTACCAAAGGTCCAGTTCTCCAGGTCCGCTGGAAGTGTCCGGGCCCATTTACGCAGCCCTTGCAGGAACTCGTCGGTGGACATGGTACCTGAAGGGCGTATGAGATCAGTATTATGAGGAATATTCCCTTGCGGAAATGAAAATGCCTTACTAGGGCTGGCATTGGGACCGAATACTTGCTTGAAAAAGCCATTCGCCCATGCTTCGTCTTGGCTACTCACAGCGCTGTGCCACCTATATATCATGTTAAATTCAACGCTTACCTGGTTCCCGATTCCCTGAGGAGTCCCCTCCGAATTGAAAATTTGACTGAAATCCTCTCGAGGATCAAGTTTCCAGTCAGAGGGCATGGAATTTCGGTTGAGATTAAGAATAGTGCGGAGGTAGTCCGAGAGGATCATGTTCACATACAGGCCACAAGTGACCCTGAAGACAGTGAAGTTAGCTGGATATATCCCTTTGTTCGGAGCAAAGAACCTACAGTCTCCCTGTCTGGAACAGGTCATTGTCGCGCTTCAGCTCTGCGTTGTTGTAATCTGGTTGGCCCTGCGTCAAGCCTTCTGCCAGACTGAAACGCCCGTCCTCGTTGATGGTTGCCAATTCTCCAACTATGTAGTTGTGGAAACGATTAAAGGCGATCATTAGAGCACCAACACCAGGGGGCTGTGTAAGAAGTCTGCTCTCGGCAAATACATCATTCTTCAGCCGCCCATCCTTGAAAGTCCGGACCTTGGTTTGCTCTTCAATGTTTTTACCGTAGAGGGGCGACAGGTCGAGATATGACGAATTCCTCAATTTATTTATATCCTTCTCATCTGTATGGAAGAGGTCTATAAACATGTTAGTGGTCGATCAAACCCCACAAGTCTATGTTTATATATACCATGAATTATGATGGTTGCAAGATAGAAGAGACAGCTTGATACCTGGCCAGGGCTCTCTCTTGCAGTGTCACTTCGGGCCAAGAGACCTATGAAATGTAAGTTGCTGCTCAGAAACTCATCCTCTAATGAAAAAAGTAGCATACTGTCAAAGATGAGAGATGGGTCAGGCAGGATAGAAGTCCGTTTGTGTGTCGATACTACGCTTCGAGCGTAGTGGCTTCCCGCCGCACCGAGGTGAGGGTATAAAATGTTCTACGGAATCAATAAGTAATATTCGGAATTTGTTAGTAGAGGGTGGTGTAACCCTTACGTTATTAGATCCGTCAGCGGTGCGGTACCTGAATTCATCGCCCAGGTACGAAAGTGGTGGGTGTCGCAGGTTGTCCCACAATCTTTGAATGAAAGCCGCGTTGAGGTCATCTCTTACTTTAGAGCCATTGGGTAGCGAGACCGCGAGTTGGATAATGTTTTCAACCTATACAAAAAGTCAATCCTCGTCAGCTCAAGAAAGTAATAAGACCAAGGGCACATACGATGTACTCGCGATCATCTATCATGCCACCGGCCAAGGCTGTCTCGGTCGCGCCATGAAGAATACGCAAATCTGGCCCGATGCGGCCAGCCTGGCTGAGGATGTCGCGACGAACTTCATTGAAGAGGTTAGCCAAGTTCGTCCCCACATCTCGTGCCCTCTCGGGAAGTGCTTTGAGTGTGGCCATATTCTCGACTTGGATGCGTTGAGATTCTACTTAGGTAGCAGAGTGATTGCAATTGAAGTCCAAGTGGTTGCTTTGTAACCCATGTGAGGGTTTGGGCAGATATAAAACTAAAAGTCCGGAGATGCACCTACACACACACCATACGCGTGGCAGTAGAGATTGGTTGCGATGAAACCATTATGAAATCATATCTTTCTTCCAGACCAGTGTCTGTTTCACATGTTAATTCTTATGAAGGAATTGCCCTCGGAAGTTACCAATCTAATAGATTCTAGATATATCACTGTCCGGTTTTAACCTAGCCGCAGACATCTTCTAAAGTATAATAATACGCAGCGGGAAGTTTAACTACGCTATCGCCCGTTTTAAGTCAGCTGGACTGACTGACATTTTCCCATAATCCAACATTCCGTCATCTTAACTTCATTTTACATTCCAGCCTAGCATCATATGCCTAAGCTTATTCCTCAAGTCATACGGCTTTAAGATATTCATCAAAGGGCTCTAGTCAAATTATATAAGATTAATCTATACTGATATCACTCAACTTTTCATGGAGTTACAGAAACAGGATTTAGGCCATCAATAGTAAAGACGCTGTATTTGTCGACTTTTGATAACCCTAAGTTGCGGCTTACGTATCCACGGAGATTATATCTAAAGGTTTCACCCCTTACTAGCATCAGCAAACATTTTAGTTCAAATCTCCATACCAGCTCCACGAGCAGTAACGGCAACAAACATCCTTCATGCAACCCCTCCACATGCAAAGCTACACAACTGAACCCTAATCTAACATTTCTCTAAGATTTCGTAGCTCCTTGTTGGCTATCATAAGAACTTAGCTCACATAACTACTGGAATAAAGGTTCTAGACTCTAGACAAGGAATGTTAATCAAAACTATGCGCTGAAAGGGGAGATGGTTGCTATATTAAGGTTGAAATCCAACTGGACTATAATTTGTTTGTCCTATTCGTTCAGTTTGTTGTGCTATTAACTTGCACACTCTGCTCGGATGTATCGGAAATGCTATTTCGTAACTGATTCAGTAGTTTATTGTTAAAAAGGATCGAGATATCATCGTCAATGTGATTTATTTAAAGTAGTTCTGCAGCATTTTCCTAAGTGTGATTATAAAGGCAGCTGTACAAACTAATAGTATCAGATCATCTCCCCCGTTGATTGTACTTCAGATACTTCTAACCATGGCACAAGAGCCACTTAAACTCGCCAGCTATAAGCGCATCATTGTCTGTGCGGACGGCACGTGGCTTTCGTCCGATCAAGGCAGTAATTCTGTACCTTCCAACGTCGCTAAGATTGCTCGAGCAATTTCCAAAACTGGGCTTGACGAAAAAGGCAATCTCGTGAAGCAGGTAGTCTTCTACCAGTCAGGTCTTGGGAGTGGAGATCTCCCAGTCCAGAAAGCCATCTACGGTGAGAACTCGACTTGACTCTTCCTCTCCGCTTTCTGTACCACCCGGCTTGCTCATGTGGTGATCCTCGCAGGTGCCATCGGTCTGGGACTCGATACTGATATCATTCAACTCTACGATTTCATCTCTAACAACTACGAAATTGGCGATGAGTTATTCTTCTTTGGGTTCTCCCGCGGCGCATTTACAGTTCGCTCGGCTGCCGGTATTGTATCTGATGTTGGCGTTTTCTCACCAGTAAATATGTCTCGGTTTCCCGAGATGCTTGGGAGGCCGTACTGCGGGTACAGCGATCGCGTGTGGATATCTTCGACTTTGATCCTTCTTCGACAAACAGGTAGGCAGAATGAATGCATTCCTATCAAGGACTTAGAATTGAATTGGACTCGCTGCCATTCACGCCAGAATTGACTACGAACTGCTCCTCTTCTCCCGACTTAACATCGCAGGCCACTTTGGGTTCAGCGTACATGTCTATTCCAATGGGCCAGAGCTCAAAAGCGAACATTGTACAAACAGATCCAGGCCCAGGCTTAACGTCAAGCCAGTGAACCACACATTCTCACCAGTCATGATAGAGTCACTGAACAAAGCCGCTAAAAGGCTTGCGGCCGACGTACCAGAGGCCACCAAGTCCCGTGTTACCAGGAGGAGGTAGATGCGGATCCTCCCAAGGTCCTTCCTCGAGAAACAAGCGTTGACATCCCCCCCCATTAGAAGCATGGACATTCCTGCCATCGTGGTGTCGCCATGCAGACGTAGGCTTGATCAACTTCAATGTCATCATTTGTTCACTCATTCCAGTCCCTATGTACTATCATGGTCTAGACGACGTCCATGGCGCTTTAGCGCCTCGACGTTCATATTAACTCTTGACTTTTCTCCAACAATTCAGACTCGCTACATTCCTATGACGCAACAAGACCGCACGTCACCAACACTTAATAGGCTCCATGTACGGAAGGCGAAAAGCAGGATGCGGTGTTGGGGGGTTATCATTTGAAGTATTGAGCCACCCGCTAGCATTACGTAAGTGCCTCGGCTAAGACCTTATTCAAACCTTGAGTAAGGAGCAAGAGATAGGGTGAGCGACTATGCACTCGCATCATAAAGCTAAGATGATATCCAGTATACTCTCTCCATTACTGCGAATCATACATTCCCTGAGAGCGGATTTTGATACATTCACCAAACCGAGAAACCACCCGAGTCCTCCAGAGCTTAGAACTAAGACCAAGTCCCTGGTATGGAAAGTCGAACCATGTTTGACTTGACCATGAATATTGCTCAAGCTTTCGTGAGCACAGTCACAGAGGCGGCGTGTAACACTGTTGGGGCAGGCTACAAGGTGGTAACCGACATTGGCACGGCTGGGGCGAAAGTTGTTGGAGATAGTGTCAGCACCACCCTGAAGGTCGGGGGAGATTTTGCCTCCACCGGGACGAAGATTGCGGGCGACTCAGTCGGTATCTTAGCGAAGGTTGGGCTCGACTTCGTTGGAACCGGAATCAAGATCGTCAACAACGCGGGGAACACGGCAAACCATATTGTTCTCGGCGATGATATCATTAGCATCTTACACAATGCGACCCATGACAGCATCAAGACGGGATCCAAGATCCTGGAGGATAGCATTGGGACGGTGGCGATGATTAATGGGGCCATAGCCAGTACCCTAGTGAAGGTGCTATCAGACTGGTCCAGTACTGCCTCCAAAGTTGTAAAGGACTCTCGGTCGACTGTGAACCTTGTTGCTACGGATACTGAGACTACCTTCCTCAAAGTCCACGACGACACAGTGACGATAGCGGTTCAGGCTGCGAGTCGGGCACTAAGTACTCGAGCCGCTGAGATCTTCCTCAAGTACGCGGTAGATGTATTCACCACTGCAGGCGACACGGCGATTGTTGATACAATCTTGCAAGTGGTACACCGCTCCCTTCAGGCCACGACACATATGCTTAGCGGAGCAGCACTTATCTGGAGGGGCATATTTACGAATGGTATGAATGAGGATGCCCTGTACTTTATCCTGAACCACCTATACGATTTGCTGGGCTTCCTATACGACCTAGTGAAGCCAGGGAACGTTGTCCCCACATACGCAGCCGATGGTGTGATCGAGAACGGAGCGGACGGAGCGGACGGAACAGACGAGTTTCCGGGTGGGGGTAACCCGTACAACGAGCTCGACCTTCGGAGGGAGCAGAACCGTGATGCCATTGTCTACCAGGTGCAACGGGTCGCATTGACGTTCATCAACATCCTCCAGATGGGCAGGAAAACGCCGCCGCAGGGACTAACTGACCTCCAAATGAACGTTAGGCTACTTAGTGACTTTGACGCGAATGGCAATCCCCCGTCGCCAACCTACGTCTCCAGGTTTGAAGAGAGGCTGGAATCTCCTCGCAATGAGAAATGGCTATTTATCAACGGTATCGCGAACGAGTTGACCTGGTTCCAGCGTTCGTGTGATAAGATCCGTAATACTTTCAAGAGAGAAGTCAAGGGGATCTACAATAGGAGTGACGGTATCTTGTGGGACTTAATAGAGTGTTGTGGAGAACGTAGCGCGGTCACAGAGAAGTCAAACGAGCTCATTGAGCGCACACAGAGCAGCAAAGCCGCGCAGAAGAGCCTTGAGGAGGAGCTCACTGATGCCTTATGGCCTACTGATGGTATCGCCCCAGACAAGGTGGTTATGATCGCCCATTCTCAGGGGTGTCTCATTCTCCGGCTAGTGCTGCAAAAGCTAGTGAGCGAGAACCCGGCAGGATCCCAGAAGATGAGAGTTATGAAGGACAGGCTAAGAGTGTTCACTTTTGGGAACCCAAGCATTGATTGGCGGGCTATAGACGAAACAGCGCAGTCTTTGAGCAAGTACGCGACTGCTACCGAGCACTTTGCGCATGAAGTGGACTTTGTGGCCAGGCTGGGGGTTGTGACGTACTCCGTTGACCCAGACTCAGGCTATGATGCGGATTCGATTTTCTATAGCAAGGAGGGGAGGGGCCATCTATTTGGAGCGCATTATCCTCTGGAGAAAAATGCTTATACAAACGCGGGGAGGTCCAAGTTGTTGAGCGCAGTGGATGGAGGAGAGATGGATTGACGGAATCGTTAATGAGAGCGATGTGGCTATTGGATTTATTCTATTTGACAGGGCTGCCGTCAGATCAGATTAACAATCAGATATATCAATCAATTCAATCAATTCAGATCAAATACGGTATCCTAACAGATCAATCAATTTAGACACAAGCATCTGTGCATCTGATATATCTGATATCCTTAGAAAGGAAGATGACTACCCTAGAACTGTCGGATCATCCATATTTTCCGGTCCTCAGAGTGGGGCACTTCCCTAACAAGTAGTGATGCTACAGGGCGGAGTCAAGCCGATTGGCTGGTTTTGAACCCCAGCCCGCTCAGGGCTCGGTTGGAGAGCAATCTACAGGCAGATTAATTGGTTAAGTTGCCCCTTTTTCCTACCTCTTGCCCCAGTACGACACAGCCCTAGCCAGAGAAGCCGACATATCCTTCAATGTTTGGAAGCATATCTCGGCTGATGGGTTTCAATCTGTTGAAGCCCCTGCTGATTGCAACATACAATGTCGGAGACCGCTATAAAAGGCAGCCTTGCTGGTAGCCCGTCGTCATCGCCGCCACCACCCGCATTTCCTCGTCTCGGATCCCGGTCTAAGGCCATCGCTAAGCAGTATGATGCCGCTTTAACTTTGGCCTCGACTGCCGATTCGTCCGTTGATGACCTTTACAAGATCATTTGGGGCCAACGACGTTTTGTTATTGCAAGCCTCTTAGATAAGAGGAAAAGTAGGGGCAGGCGAAGCTGGATCGGAAACCATGGCTGGTTCCTTGCAGAGTTGAGGAAAGACAATACATCCAGTGGAGATATCTGGTGTTGCCGGCTCTGCGATGATAAGTTGCGTGCTGAAAGAGATGAACCAGAGATTACAGCCTGATGGGAATGAGTTCCATGTACTTCTTGGGATCAAGACTCGGCTTTTGGCTTCACTTGATGCAGCTAATAACGCTGAGCTAAAGCAGCTGAAGATGGATGTTCTTGACCGGTGGCTGGGTGCTTATCAAACAGGTCATCCGATTATTCAAACAAGAGATCTGCTTCTCGATATTGTGTCTATGATTTTCGCTACAATTGATATTCAGCTACCCTAGAGAGTAAGCGCCCTGAGGGAAGGGAAGGACGTCAGTTGAATTCATCTGAAGTAATTAGTGCTTCTGGTCGGATAATAGCTTTTCCTGCCCGCACTAGGCGAAGTGAACCCAAAACTTAGTCCACGTCAGAAAATCCCAATTGAAGCTGTAATAAGTAAGCAATATCAATTCAAATATAGTATTATATCCCGAATATTAACCTGATTTAATTATCTTATATTAATAAACCGACTTTTACCTAGTTAGGAGAGGCAGTAAGAAATTTCTATTTATCAGTAGATCTTTAAATATAAATAGAAGGGTAATAAGCTATATTAACCTCCTAAGTAGATATCGAGGAGATATCGGAGTTATTAGGCTGGGGCCCTTGAAACTATACTGTATAATAATCGAGCTGTAGAACCCTTAGAATACTCCTTAGAGTTTACTAAGGTTTAAGCTATATTATCCGTTCTACTTCCTATATTAAAATTATTCAGAGGTTATACTGATTATCTATATTATCAGCCTAGTATACCTTAACTGGCCGAGCTAGGGGGAGAGGCTCTGCTCTATACAGAACTAATAGAAACTCCTTAACTACTAGTTAATTCTTAACTATAGGAAGATACTTTAATATATCTATAAATTTTTATTAAGTTCTAAGTAGCTAGATAAACTAATAAAGATAGGAATAGCAGTATAGCTATATTTTAAGAGGTTTTAGATAATAGCCTGAATACAGAGGGTAGTAGTACTAAGCAGAAGATAGTAGATATAAAATAATTAGTTTAAGGGATAAGTATATTACTATTAAAAATAGTATAGATAATATAAATTTAATAAGAGGAATAAATTATTATAAAATTTTATTAGAAAAATTACTATTAAAATCTATATTTATTACTACTCTTATTAATAAGAATATTTAAAGGAGGAATACTTATAGGAGAGTATTTACTATTAATAGAGACTCTAAAGTCTTAATAATAGATAGATATTTTTCTAATTTAAATTCTCTATATAGGATTCCTTACCTATTTTATAGTATTCTATTATAAAAAGAGTTTTCTATTAGAAATTAACCTAAGATATAAAGATAGGATCTTTAAGCCTCTACTTAATACTAGAAGATATCTCTGAAGATCAGATCTAAATATTTATTTCTATTAAGATCTAAGAAAAGAAATAAAGGCTCCCCTATTTAGTTATATTCTCTGCCTTTATAATTTTAATTAATTCTATAAAAGAATTAAATATAAAAGCTTATTAATATCCTAATACTTAATAGATCCTCTCTTACTTTATACCGCTTATCTTATAGATATTATTCTCTTATATTAATATACTACCTCGAGTTTTTCCACTTACTACCCTGCTGGTAACAGCCTTTGCAAAGTCTTCTTCCCAAGTAAAAGAAGGGGCTATATGCACGGAACGGAGGTAGGGATAGTCAAGCAAGCGAGGCTAGAAAAAGAGGAGCTAGCTAGAAGAGTGGGGCTTCATTGGGTGATCTCGACGAAAAGCGGGGAAGCGTATACAGCTTAGCTTAGCCATTGGCCCTATGAAATCCGTTCTCCCGGGCGTAATAAATCATAATAATAATAATAATAATAATAACGGGTCCCGAGCGCTGGGGCCAGGCGGAGTTTTCATCATCAGAAGACACGCAATCAGGAGACTGCTCGATGCCCTGAATCATCGACCAGAGAATGCTGTTAACATCAAGACTGTCTATCAGCACTGAATAAAGCTTTTCCATTGCAGACAGAGGCCCCTTCTACTGGCGATTGTGCTGTCCACAGAATAGTGAAATTTGTATGTAGATCACTGTAATCGCGAAGGGAACCCTTTCCAAATCCTGTCTTTGGGCCTTTTGACTTTTTTATCAAATAATCGTCATAATTCTCGCCTAGCGGTGTATACGAGACCTCGTACGATAGTGAAACACTATGCATTGTGGCGGTCGCCAAGAGTTCCAATAGCGTACCACAGTTAGCTGCGCTCAGACACTATTTGACCTAGATGGAAAGGGAACCGTCGCAGTCATTGGTGATTATCCCGAGTTGGAAGCTTACAGAACCCTAATGCAAGGATGCTTGGGTATGGTCTCTTGGTCCTAAATCCAGGAAGTATTAGAACACGCTGGGCCGTATAGCATACCTCTCGATACTGAGAGTGCAGGATAACATAGACCAGCGACTAGAGGTTTAAAAAAAAAAAAGGTATAGAAGTGTGATACTGAAGATTACAATTCTTTAGCTTCTGCAGCTAACCTGCGAAGCCCCCGTTCGCCCCTCGCCAGAAGGAACATAACTGTATACTTCAGATATTAAGCCTAATGCAGGCCATATCAGACACCTCAGCTCATAGTGTATTAGAGTTAGAGAATGCACAGGTACACCAGAGCCTTAGCGAGGAAACATCACAATAGGAATACTACTCTTCTTATAGCAGCGGGATACTCAATTCATTTAGGGCTTTGGAAAGTTCCAACAACATTCCAGTTAATAGTCAAACGAACTGAATACTTACTTTAGTAGACTAGCTGAATATTAACTCGAGCCTTTAATCGGCCCAAAGCATACCCTCTCTCAGCACCATAGCCCAGTAAATAGAATAGATCAGGAATTGAATACGGAGTTTTATTATAAAGTTACAAAAGTACATTCTTATTTCCCATACTTGGAACAAATTCGGCCTTCACCTTATTAACTCTTTTACAGGGCACTTTATACATCGATACCGGGCTAAGGATAACCTATAAGTAATCAAACTTAGTACCCCACCAGTTATCTTAGCTACCGAAATCCAGCTTATTATTATTATCATAGTATCACGATAGCATTATACAACCGAGACTTACCAACCACATTATTTCAGCAAAGTAACTCCTATATTACTAGGGCTTAGCAAAGTATATAAAGCCAATAATAGCCTAACCATCATAGCTCCCCAATCACCTTCCTTACTCATTTCTATTAAACCCCATCTTCTTTCTTAAGCCCATCTTTTCTACTACACTCCCCAAGAAAACCCAAATATCATATTATTCCTCGATCACCTTCCAACAAAATAAAGCCTTCTCTTCTGTTCTTAATTACTCTAGTAACTTCTGCTAGCACTTAGTACAACAGACCTAAAAAAGGAGGTTAGAAACTAATAGGAAATTACCAGGGCAGTAGCAGGTATTACATTAACTATCAGGCTCAAGGTTTTAAGTACGAAGGCTATAGCGGCTGGGGATACCACGAGTACTAGTATTATAACAATAGTTACTAAGGAAGCAATTCCCTACAACAACTCATAAATAGAATCAGTACACACAAACAGAACAGCGCTCTTCAGATACTATTTCAATAACCTGAGCACCAATAAATATATACTAACTTCGGGTATATTAAGACACAATTAATTACACCAACCTAGGAGGATCAGATAGCTGGAAGTAGTTAAGAGGATTTCCAAACGGGCATATAATCAAATACAATTAGCAACTTATCATTCTTTTCTCGCACAGGAACAGAAAGAAACTGCTATTAAATTTCATTCTTAGTTATAGAGCTACCTAAAAATTCAAAATTAATAAAATAAAAATAAAGAATAAAAACAAACTAAAATAGGCTATAAATACTCCTAGTCCTAGTTACTAATATAGCTTTAATATATAAACTATTATTTGATTTATATAGATATAATAGCAGTTAAGGAACTACTATTACTGCTTCGATCAGATACCTAATAAATATATATAAATAAGTTTAGAAGAGTTCAGTAATAGTAGTTAGAGATATATAAATTATCAGCTGTTAGTAATATTCCTAATCAGAATAGTAAGATTACTCAGTTATTTAATATCCTAGATACTATTATTAATAATAAGATATAGCTATCTCAGCTGAAGTATCTTTACTATATAGCTATTATAAATATTTTTAAGGTAACTAAAGAGAAAGCTAGTATTAGTCAGAGGTAGGGCTGAATAAAATCAAGGCCTGGTACTATAAATATAAGTTATACTCTATAATTATACCTCTAAGCGCAGAATATAAGTTATAATTTCAGATATATAAAATATCAGTTATATAGATATCTGTATATTATAAAGAGATAGTATAAATTAGGGGGAAGTTTCTAATTATACTGATTACTTATAGTAATATAGTAGAGAAAATTATATAGATAAGTTATACTACTGTTATTGGATATTATACTAATAATCTAGTAATAATTAATCAGTTATAAAGCCTATACTACGAAGAGTTAGTAATACTATAATATAAATTAGCTTATAGCAAGTAGTAGAATTCTGTCGGGTATTACAGTAACAAGAAGAAGAAGAAGAAGAAGAAGAAGAAGAAGAAGAAGAAGAAGAAGAAGAAGAAGAAGAAGAAGAAGAAGAAGAAGAATACAACAGAGTTTACGGAATAAACTCTTGGGATTATGTATTATAAGATATCACCAGGCGCTGGTCCCTCGAATTAGGGGATATCCGCGATATAATATTTTTTTTTAGCTGAAAGTAATCTAGGCACAGAAGGCGTACTTTATAACCGTTTCAGTCCCTTGCTACACCTTAACTTAGATATATTAAAATTATTATCATTTCCTATAGCCAATATAACCATAATAAAATCAATCCCTATAACCTTTTATATATAAGATAAAGCTCCTCTTAGCCACCGGGCTTTATATACTAGTTATATAATTATATATAATTCCTAGTATTAGTATATCCCGAGTAACTATCAAAGTACCTTCTTAACTGAAACAATCAAAGCTAATTAGTAGAATAATACTCTCTTAAGAAGAAAAATAAAGATAACCACCAGTCTACCAGCAGAACTCTACTAAGACTTAAATAGTTGAAACCTCCCAGTTTGATATATACTATTAAGATAGTTAATTAAATTAAGCCCTAAAGTCTATTATACTATATCTAACAGGCAGAATAGATAAAAATATATAGATCTACTACCTATAAGCCTAAGACCCTTGATACCTAGGGGTCGATTATATATCTATATAAACCTATCCAGGTAGTCCCTTAGTAGCCTACAAGGGAACATAGGCTAATTCTTCTGGAGGGCCTATTCCTTCTCTGACTCCGGGACTAATTATACTGCTGGGTTTACTGCTTGATTAATATTATTAAACGGAAGAGTAGTCTATTTAGGCGGGCCTAGAAGTTAGCAGATATCTTCAGGGCTTAGGAGGCTACCTATAGCAGGTATAGTAGGTAAGGTAGAAGATACTGAGAATAGAGGGGTAATATAGGGGCTAGGCCCAGGAGCCGAGAGTACCTCAGGGCCTGCTTAGCTACTATTTATCAGGGTGGAAATAGATAGCCCTGCGCTACTTATTAGAGATATTTAAGGTTGAGCTTAGGTTTATCTTAATTAAACAGGCTGAAGCTGGATACTATAAGTTCGATAAGTACAGGGTTAAATTACCGGATACGAATTAGATCTGGGGACAGCGGTTATTAGGTATAATATCCAAGCTTAGGATTAAGGCTGGATCTGCGGCTGGATCTGTGGCCCAGTCTGTATCTGCATACTGGCTTCAGATGAAATATAAAGTCTTTACAGAGACTGAGGTAGTCCCTGAGGCTGAGGTAGTCCCTGGGGTCGAGGTAGTCCCTGAGGTTAAGCTAGTACTGAACAGAAAGACTGAACTAGACTATAGGAGTAAATCTAGAACTATAGTCCTGCTAATTTCTAAGTTTAAATAGGAGACTATAGTAGTTTCTAAGGACTAGGATAGATTTATATTGGAAAACAGGGTTATAGCTGAGGTTAAAACTGAGTATAGTACTAGGCTGATATATCTAGCTAAGGTTAACTATAAGCTTGGAATTATATTCTAGATTAGGGATAAAATTAGTTTTAAAATTAAGAGTTTAAGTAAATATTAGATTATATCTAAGGGATAGTTAGTATATAAAGGTTAGATCTTATCCTGGGCTGAGAAGCTATAAGAGGTAGGTACTATATCTCCGGTCAGGACTGAAAATAAGATCCAGCCTATAGCTGATATTATATCTGGGCCTGATAAAAACTATATCCAGCTTACAGGGTATAAAATATCAGTATTTTAAACTATACTTAAGATAGAACTTAGCTCTAGAGTTAATACCCTTAATTATTACTAGGCCCTGTTAGAGGATAGCTTATTATTTCTTAGGGTATAGCTCTATAGACTTAAAGCTTTCTAATCTGGTAGCTTTATATATAGGAGCTTTAGCTGCTAGTAGTAAGCATAGGGAATAAGCTCCCGACCGGTAAGATTATTAAGTCTATAAACTAGGTCTTAGCTGTAGTTACTAAGCTATTCTTAGGAGGTATTATTACCTTTCCCGGTTAAATAGATAGCTAAGAACTATTAATAAGCTGCTGTAGCCCCTCTATATTTCCTACTGTATACCTGGTATACTAACTTCTAACAGATAAGGTATTAGGAACTATATAGTAAAGCTCTATTTCTTACTAATAAGGGACTCCTCTTGCTATAGATATGTTTTAGTCCCAGATTTTTTACCTGGGGTCAAGGAAGTAGAAATAGGCTGTCTTTCTGTATTAGTTAAAAGTCGCCCTGGGCTAAGTTTATTAGATATAGCTTAGTTCTCTAAAGGATTTCTAGGGCTATTACTGTTAATACCTATTATATCTCTTACTAATACCCCCGGATTACTGTAGGATATATCTTTTACTAGCTGTTCGCCCTTACCGCTTGAATTGGATAAGATATTCTGGATTAAGACTGCTCTTATAATAATAGGTAGTAGACTCTGGTTTCTTCTCTCGTTAGTAGGTATTACTATTAGTCTATCTCCAAATTCCGTATAGCTCAAGTATGATTTACAGGCAGTTACCCCAGTCAGGACTATAGTAGTACTGTTTAGGGATAAGCCTTAGATTGTTTTATCGTTAGAAAGTACGGGTGTGTTTTTAGATATTGATTATTAACTTAGACTATACTATTCTAACGGTCCGGGGGAGTAATCTATACTCACCTTAATTCCTTCTTGAGGCTTACTTAATTAATTCCTACTTTAATATATACTAGGCGAACTAATACTACTTATTCCCGAAAGACCATTATTTTAGATATTTTCAGTACCTAAAGTAAGGGGGTTATTACCTTAATTCTCTCCTCGATCCGTTTAGCTATAGAGGCTATTATCTGGTCTTTCTTCGATATTACCCCCTTGCTTGGATATATTATTAGGTTCAGTATCTTTGCTATCAGCTCTATAACTCGCGCAACTTTCGATATCAGTTGTATCTCTGATATTTCCCGAGCTGCTGGAACGTCGGCTGCCTGGCTCTGTAACAACATTCGCCAAGATGACTGATCTGTTCACGTCAGCCTGCTGTATGAGTCGTAATAATGGCTGGTAATACTCCTGCTTCATGATAGTTCTCTCCGATCATCTCTCAATGCATACGCCTGATCCTTTGCATAGTCTGGGGCATTCCTGAGACCTCTTCTTCAATCCCTGTATGTCTCGTATGAATCTGCCAGGTTTGTTGATTTGATAGGGTACTGGTGGTACTTCAGCGTCCTGTCGTCCGGCGGGGTAGCGTAGTGTGCAATTGGTTAAGGGTGGTGCCATCGGTGGTGAATGTTATGATTACAGCGCGGCCTGGGGGATCCGATCTCCCCATGTAGGAAAGGGCCTGGTTTCTTGCGTAGACAAGAGCTGCTCCGTCGTAGGCGCTCTACAGCCTCGCGTTCCCCATGTTCCCGCCGGGGCCCTTCCACTCTCCGGCCACATGCGGTAACGTTAGAGAACGACGGTCATTCTTATAGAGAACGGCTCCATTGACGTGCTAGTCGACCGGGAATGGGCCATATTCTTCAATTTCGAGTCCTTCCACAAAATCGGGTTGGGGTGCAGACAAGCCATCATTGAAGCCAACGTCGTCCGGGAACCCCGTGAACGACCGGCCAAAAGACTGGTTGTAGCCTTCGTCGCCGTATTCTTTCAGCACATGTCTGCTTACTTGAGCGGCTACGATCGCCTCGTTGCCGGCTCCCTCGACTCTCCTGACGTACCGCTTGTACTCGGGCTCGGGAGGTGAAGCTGTCGCACGGGACCTAGCGTGTTGTTTGCGGTGGTCCTCGAGGTTCGTAGGTGGCTTAGAGTATGGCGGTTGCAGAAGGCCGTTTTTATAGGCCTGGACGTCAAAGCCGGACGATGTTGTCGAGGTGGTTTTCGTTTTCTGTGACTCACTCATGGAGTCGCGATGAGAAGACGATGATTTCTTGGATTCCTTCTTCTTTCCCATCTCGTTAAAACGAGCTAAGTTCTTTCCTGTCAGTAGTGCTCGATTCGGTTGGGGCTTGTCGTCGTCGCTATCGCTGTCGATCTGTCGTTTTTGTGGTGGTGGATTTGCTGGAACTTGCTCTTCTTGGGTTGGCAGAGGTCAAGCTTGAGAGAGCTCAGGGGAGGTTTTTTTCTTGTCCATAATGAAGAAAAAGAAAGGGAGACTTCCTTTCCTAATGAGCTGGTCGACAAAATAGGCCGGCTGAACGATGCATCGGCTTATGTTTGGAATGATGTTCTGGCGATGTGGTTGATTGGGTGTCGACGAAAACTTTAGGCAACAGTGGGGGCTCCAGCCAATGATTGGTCCCCGTAATCCCGTTTGTGGGAGTCGCTCACGTAACCGTCCAATGAGGTGGTAGGATTAGCGTGTTTTCATAAATCGGTGATGCTGGCCTGCGCGTTGGTCAGGTTGCTGAGTGGTTCCCATGTATTTTCGTCGTCGCCACAGCCTTTCCATTTCACAAGGTCCTTCTCTGCGGTGATCGAGAATCTCCTCGACCTCTTATTCTTTTTCGCCTTTGAAGTCTGTAGACCTGTCGAGCTGTGCCTTTGGTGGTGCCGGTTCGAAAAGCGAAGTATGAAGAATGGGGTGGGTCTGTATTGATCGTGGTAGTGATAGTTCGTAGTTGGTGTCTGAAATCTTTCGCTAGACTTTGAATGGTTTAATCTGTTTGTAGTCAAGTTTTGGTCACTTTGTTTTGATGTTTTTGCGGGCGAGGCAGACTTTATTATCGGAGCAACCCTCCGAACAGCTTCCTAGCGTACTCTGTTGTAGCTAACTAATCAATTATACTTTATAATAACTGTCATTAATTCCGGGTTCCTTAGAGATATAGGGTGCAGTATGGGTAGCTGGGTGATTCGGAGTGAGACTGTTAAACGAAGTCATGTATCTCCATGGACGGGTATTTGTCGGCCATCTCCCTGAGACCTGCATTTGCCCCAAGCTACATAGGATGGATGTACCTACAGCGCCGGAGACATCGCCGGAGATCTCGGTGGTGAGATGTTTTCTGCCGATCCAAAATCTAGGCCTACTCTTTATTCCTGAGCATGTATTTTGTTACTGTACTACTAATTTGATCGTAAAGCTGCTAAGTCACCAAGACGTAGGCTGTAAATTTCTTCCAGTCTGTTGGTAATCACATGAAAATGCTTCAAGTAGGTAGTGACGAGGTATTCGAAGTTTTCGCGAGTGACGTTCATCCGCGGACGACGCCCGATGATGATTGGTTTCCACCCTGTCTTGCGTCCAACAAGCCTGGACCACGTCTCACATACTCAGCGTCCATCCTCAAGTTGGGTCTAGGCCAAGCTGCTGAATAATTTGAGGTCACGTGGGATCAAAGCTCCTTGCCGGAACATCCATCTGAAACCTTGCAAATGGTTCACTGTTCGGTAGTATGCGTGTCATGGCGCGTGTGAGTAGCTAGGAACTCCGCAATGCGATACGACAGCCGGCCCCGCCCAGCCGCCACAGAGTCAACAACGTCAGTTTGTAGACGTGCGAGAAGTCGGTGCTCAGATCCATCGTCGAAACATACAAGCCCTTGGCAGCTAAGTTCGTTGGCGAGTCGCTCCTGGGTCGATCCGCGGTGCTCACCGCCGAAGAAGCGATATACATGCATACCGGCCATGGCGATGAGTTGGTAGCCGAGCCAAACCCACTGGATGCCGGACGACGCGAAGAGGAATGTAATTAGGCCGGCGGGGTAGACAAAGATGAAGGCGATGACGGTGAGCATGGACAGCACCTCCCGCGTGCGATCGCCGATGAGGTTGTTTATATTTTCAGAGAGTGATGCCGTCTTATCCCAGTGAAGGCCGGGGTTGTTACGGACGGGGTGGCCGTAATGGTGCCAGAACTGGTATACTAGGTGCCTCGGTCCTGTAATGAGAAAGAAACCCTTAGAGTAGTCAGCCACCTCGAATAGGGTCAGTTCTCCATCGTCTCCAGGCGAGTCCATATCCTCTGGTCCCTTTACGGGTTGCCGTCCGACGCGAGAGAGGAGGCTACCGAGCTTGAGAAGAAGAGGCACAAAGTACCACGCAGCGAATGGGCTCTTCCAAGTCACAGCCGTGGCGACCCCAAAAACGACACTGATGGACTCGCTCGCCAAAATGCCGAGGATATGCGTCAGTTTCAGTTGGTTGTTGTCGCCTGTCAATATGGGGAGCGGATGGCCCACAGGTCTCCCGGTTCCATGGACAGCAGCACCCGCAGCTTCTTCCCTCGTGAGTTCGAGCTCGAAAAAGGGTCGCTGCGCTAAGACCTTCTTCACACGCTGCGCTGCGGCGAGCGAGTCCTGCCTCCAGTTGGGCTCTAGGGGCGGCGGTACCTGGTGTGGCCATGGCACGAGCTCCAAGACCGTGATCCAAAACGCGTCACGAGCGTCTTTAAGCTCGCGCCCCGTAGCACCGGCCGGGTGCACGACGTACTTGTAGCCACGATTCTTGTAGAAGACGGTGCCAAGCATGTCGCCACGGCAGTAGCCGCGCCACAGGCCGGCGGCAACCAACCGATCAAGCGCCTCGACAGCCGCTTTATGGATGGGCCCGCCCATGGGCATCATCAAGGCCATCCACATCAGCGAGGTCGGGCAAGCCGAGCTGTAGTAGCGCGTCGGCCAGAGAAGTCGGTCGAAGATGGAAGCCGACGCCACCTCGGTGCCAAGATAGCCCACGAGGGTGCCGAGCGCGGCGAAGACGGCAATCACCGTCGGGTCAGAGCTGGGATCCATCACTACCTTGTAGTGAGTCTGTTGAAAAAGGGGTGTTAAGGCTTTAGTAGCGGTGGTGCCACGGAACTGGATGCAGTATCTCTCTTGGGTCGGCGTGCTGCCCTACGCCGTTTGCATTGGAATGTATGCTGAACGATCGTTCGGCCAACAAGCGGGGCGTCGAGAAGAAGACGTTCTTTGCCTTCTTTCGAGTCATCCTATTCGCTCAACCTGTCACATGAGCCACAGGCATCGATGTCAGCGCAACCTGGGGACCCGAAACGCACTAACAGGGAAAACCCCCCTGTACCCTATCAGAATGGCTGTGTGAGGGTATAAGAAGGGGACCCGCGTCGTGTTGCATACCCACCTATTAGCTAGATCAGTCAACCAATGTCAAGATAGCTGGTGTTCGAAGGTCGGCTGACCCGACAGCTGCTGCTGCTATTGATATCGCCAATGAAGCCCAGCTACGTATGAATGCCCGGAAGGTACTTTCAATAATCAACTCGACCCAGCCGAAGAATATGATGGATAATTGCCATCCAAAATCAGAAAGAGTTCCCGGCGTCCTGCCGTCGGAAACAGTAGTTAATTCCATGTAGCTTGCTACGTGGCACCAATAAAATGGACGCAGGCAGCTGTCAGCAACTGCAGCCAGTGTGGAGGAGCAATTTGAATCCGACTTGTCAGTATGCACTGCTGCCTGACAACATCAGCCAATTTTTTCTACACTGTAACCCTTGTCGACGAAGTGCAAATATCCTTCTGGGACTTGGGGTTAGCTCAAGCTTGACTTCATCAAACAAACAGCCGCGAGCTTTCCTTCCTTAACTCTTTTCGAGCAGATCACCAAGTGCCTGCCTCTTCTGGGTGCAACAAAGGGCGACTCAACATATCTCTGATCGTGATTGCTCTTCCCAGTTTGAATCCATGACTGATCATATGACGCACTTTGTTATGCTCGCGCAGATGCTCCGATTCAGGACGGCACAGCAGCGCTGGCGCCGACTGAGCGAATCGGAGGACTGGGATTCTGCTGATCCTGAGGATGACAATACAATGCCATTCTGTACGCCGATTTGTCTATACTTTGGACAACCGAGAGCACCGCCCGATTTCTCATATTCTTTCGTCGACGAATTGATGGAAATAGAGGAGTTTAAAGATTACTTTCCGGAGAGCACCGTGGAATACCTGGAAAGGCTTGGCATGTGGGATGAAAGCGAGAGGCGTGTCCGTCACGAATGGCTTGTGGAGCGGAAAAGGGCACAAGAACTAGAGAGTTATCCGACCAGATTGCCGCACGCGGGCCGGTATAAGTGGATTGGTCCCGAGAGCGACCAGCCACCGAGCTGGGTGTGGGATAGCATGAGGCATCAGACTGTGGAGGTGACCGATGAGATATTAAAAGAAGGATATATTGCGGTCTCGTATACCTGGGGTCGCTGGCGCGGGGAGGGCTCGAGACCGGTCAAAGGGGTTCCGTGGGAGATTCCACGGATTAAACCGTCGTCCTACAGCGATGTCATCAAACTCCTTCAGCTTCTGTCCGCAATCCCCGGAAGCCGCTATTACTGGATTGATGTTCTCTGCATTAACCAGGAGGATAGTAACCAGCGCGAGCGGGAGATCGCAAAGCAAGGGAGTATCTTCGGAAAGGCTAAGGCAGTCTTCGTGTATGCGTGGACCATCCCGGACGGGCACCAGCTGGCACTTGCACTCTGTAATCTGGGGGAGAGTCTGCTTTGGGCTTTGCGCGTCCCGCCCAGAGGGATTTTTGGTGGCCAAACAGCCACGTACGCTGGCCGGCCCATACGGCGAGCATCGATCTGGAACACTCTTCGAGACAGCGAGGCTGCTCAAACCCTACGGGACGACCATTGGTTCAGCTCACTGTGGACGTTGCAGGAGATGATTCTCTGTCCATCCGGGCTCCTCATGACCCGGAACGGCGAATTCTGCACCATCAATGGCCGGATCGCCACCGTCGCATCCCTGGCTGCCGCTATATATATCATGGACGTAATGAACGACGTACGATTTTCACTTCATATCATGCATCATTATGGACAACTTGAGAAAGAGAATTTTCCAAAATTATATACTGCTCAGGCGGAGTTACTAAGAAGACTGGACACAGAATTGGTGATTCAAAAATTCCGCACTTGGATAGACTGGAGCTCCCGGATCCTTCTTAACGTCTCCTTGACAGCGGACCGGACCGACATTCTGATCGCCGCCACCAAAAGGACGGCGACTAAACGAAGAGGCGAGGCTGTTCTGGCAGCACTCAAGGTGGCCAGCGACGACGGGCCATTTGATGAGAACGGACTCACAGCCAGCGGTCTGCCTCCTTCGCTCTTGCGGCGGATATTCCTGGCGGAGGGGAGCCGGCTGTTTATGTATGCAACAGATGCAGTCCCAGGCAGGTTCTTCTCGGACATGGTTGGAGGATCTGGCAATCAACGCCCCAGAGATATCTTGGAAGGCAGCGTTGAATTTGTTTCCACCGCAACCTGGAGCATTGGCGATGATATGGGAGTCGGTATTCCTCACCCGGCAAAAGTGCTCGTCACTGCGGAGAAAGTTGTGCTGCATCTCTGCGTGGGGATATGCAGCCCGCCAATGACAATGGGAGAGGCCATCAGGTTCACGTATGCCGCGCACCGGAAATGGACGCAGCGAAAACGGCTAAGCCAGCAGATCCAGCAAGTGTGGAGATCAATGGCGGCATGTTGCCACTCAGTGCGCTCAAGCGATTCTGGAAACTTCATATTCCCACCCATGTTAGACTTAAAATTCCTTCACCTTGGCGAGGATAAAACTGGATCATCCAGCTTTGGAATCATTCTCGCCACCACCATTCCGCCACTAACCTCAGGAGAACTATGGTATAAATGTGGTACCTATCGTGCTCAGGGTCGGCCAGAGTTTCAAATGACCGCTGAGTATATGTATATTATAAGCCCTAGTTTTAAATGACTGCCTGTGGATATCTACGCTTACGCGGGTGTCCCTGCAAGCATATGCTGAATCAAGTGTCCTGCCCTGTTGCAACACAGCGTGGATCAAGCATGAATTCTGTATATTCGCAGCTATCTGCTTCCTATCCGGGGGATCCGGATTGGTTTTATCTGAAGCTATCTGCGTTATTCCATTTACTAACTTGTACCAGTGACCTTCCGCCTAGTCCGGGATCCGGGACGTCAATGTGCAAGAGACCAAGAGTCCTAACCTTTTAGGATGACAAGGACCGGCATAGATCAGCAGGCAACTCTTTCCTCCCGGGCAGCGGAAAAACTCGTGAGATGAATCTGGCAAAGGGCACGGTTTGGATGGAGCGATGACGCCCTCCACCTTGCGGTTTGAGGATGGTGACGGGAGATCAGCTCTGCCGGTTCTCCTCGGTGGCCTATCCTTTCTGCCCCACGGTTCGTAATATCTGTCGCCCTCGCCCGGGTCCCAGTACCACGATCGGCCGCCTTGAATAACCCTTGCCCGAGACCCGCAATGCCGAGGCCCCTGGTCGTCCCGTCCGCAGACCGCCAGAGGGCTATAAGCGCATCCATCTCGACGCATACTCCGATACTTCTTTGCTCGCCGGGGACGGTGACGAGCTTGACGACGGGGATGGAGGGACCGACGACTCTTCGCTCTCCGGGAACGAGCACGAAGATAAGACTCCGGACCTGGAATACGACAATAATAGGCGGTGGAAATTATCTGAATAGCTTCAGTCCGAGGAGTCAGGCGGGGAATCAGGCGGGGGAATATACTATGTTCCTATCGACTTGGACGAGCTCGCCGGATTGAAGTTGCAAGACAGCGAGAATACGCAGGCGGATTTGCAGATGAGGGCCGGGCAGCTGTTATCGGACCATCCAGCCTTAGCTAAGAAAGACGATATAAACATAACTGATAAGCGGGCCGTTTGTCCTCGTCCGAAGAAGCCGGTATAAATATGGACCTAGGCTGACTCTGAGCCCGACACAGATGACGAAGGGGAAGGGGAGGGGCTTTCTCGGCAACGGCTTTCTCGGCAGCCAATGACCGGTGAGTAGTGATAGTGGAAAGGGGAGAAAGGTTCCGAATAAGGAAGATCCTCTGTATAACGCTACCTGGCTTTATTTGCTATGTATCCATATGTTCCTGTCGTTAGCTATAAGATGTATCGGAGGGGCCAAATGCTGTGCTGGAACCCGGGAAAAAGGCGGTAGTATCGATTATGTTCCCTCTATCGCCACGGGAAGAGGACACTGCGATTTTCTATAGTAACGATAACCGAACTCTGCTGCTATTCATATACGGACAGAATGAACCGGGTCTGTCGGGGTAAACATACATTATTCTAAGGCTCTTATGTAGTTAGCAATAAAGCAGTATACTACTCAGGCAGATTATTAAGCCCAGATGCCCGGACCTTTTCTACCTATACCGGATCTATTAAATTTTTATTAACCCAGCAGTCCTCTGCACCAGGGCGATCATGCCGATATATATATTACTACTGACGGTCCTTCCAGGTCCGTCTTAGGCCCGATCTCTTATAAGCAGGTAATACAAATAACTCCAGTATAACCGATAGCGGTAGCTTTATAAAGGTTCCTACTTATAAAGAATATAGGGATAACAGAATAGCGTAACTATAGAGTAGCGAAAGCTATATTTAGTTAAGCCCGGGGAGATAGCAGAGAAAACCGGTGAATAGAAGAGGTAAGTCCTCGATATAAGTAATAAGATTATATTATTTTCTTATCTGTTGCTGGTCAGATGGTAATACTGAAGTAATTGACTGATTCGAGAGGGCTCCTTCAGCTTCTGGCTTTAAATTACCACAAAGGCTACCTAAGAAACTCACTCTCAAGGTACTAGCTATTAATAGAAGCTCCTAACTTATTTAATATTTATATATACTCCGCTTCTATACTAATTACCCGATATGGTTATATCCAGTAGTAAGTTCTTATATTATTTATTATTGATTGTGATCGGTAGCTACGGGTACCCTATACTTTTACTCTTACTACTGGCAATATTATTACTAGCAGCCAGGGCCTAAGTACTGAGATCGTGGCTGAAAACTGGCGACTATAAGGATGAGGATAAGGGGGAAGATAAGGACTAATAGAGATAGGCTAATTAAAACTAGTATTAAGGTTTCTGCTATTATAGGTATATTAGTTTCTTTTCTTCTTCCTTGGTATATTCTGTAAGTATATAACTATCTCTTATATACTAGCTTAGTATTATACTAATAATATATATAAGATTAGCTACTGAATAAAAATACAGAGTAAAAATAGAAAGAGAAGGAGAAGAAATAAGTATACTCTAAGAAATAATAGCTGATAGTAGGTATTATAATTCTTTTTAAGCTCTTATATCTCCTTAAGTATTATATATATTTCTTTATAGATTTACTTAATAGTAGTAGATTTTCCCCCCTTATACTACTAGTAGTAAATATTATACTATATCTTATTATAATAGTAAAGCTTTCTCTATAGGTAGTAGTATACTATATAAATTATAGATTATTCTTCGGTCTTATAGACTAATATAAGGCTATAAGTCTGGTCTATATAGTATTCCCTGTTATACTGCTTACTAAAATAGCCCTATTACTAATAGCTATATTCCTAATAGATTTAGTAATAGTAATATATACTTATATATATAGGATAGGGATTAGAATAGTAAGCCTGTAGACTTAGTAAACTTAGTACTAATAGGGGAAAAAAGAATAAAAACTAGGAAAATAAATCTGAGGAAGAAATAAAAAGGTTCTTTTTATAAAGGTAAGCTAATAGTTTTATTAGCTCTAAAGTATATCTATAACTAATAACCTATTCTCAGCCTGGTATATATAGATTCTCTTAAAGTTATACTATATATTATACTACTGGTAAGGGGTAGAGAATAAAGATTCCTAAGCTCTGAAAATATAACCTTAATACCCTTATATCCCTAGGGCCCAGTTACTTATAACTAGCTAATAATAAAGTTAAGTAAGTAGAGCTAAATATTTAAATAAGCCTCTATTCCTAAGGTTATATTCTTAGCCTCCTAAAGAGTATATTTTTTAGCTTATTAGATTACTAAGTATATAATCTTATTCCTCCTATATTACAGTAGATAAAGCGGGGACTTATACTGATATAAAGATTAAAGGGGTAATTCAGTATAGACTGTATCCTATAAGGCTAATAGTAATTAATTATATATAACTATCAGACTAATTTAAAGCTTATTAGTATCTACTCCCGGCTATATAAGAAATACTTAATTATATTATAATTAATTTAATAAATTATAATAAAGATAAATTATTTATATAGTTCTCTTTTCCTTAGTATTAAAAGAGTATAATATAGATTAAATAAATTATTTCTAGTAAGAGTTCTATATATAGTTTATCCTTATCTGAAGATAATAGTACAGAGATAAACTTAGACCTCTGAGCTTAATAATAAAGATAATAAGGGGGTAGCTTTATTAGTAGATAATAATTAATAGATAGGTAGAAAGAGAAGAAAGATTCCTAATAAGGAAGATCCTATCTACTGTATAATATTACTTATCTTATTTTTTATATTTTTATATATTCCTATTATCAGCTAGTAGCCTTAAAGAGTAGGTTATATAATATTATTATAGTTAGAAGTATAGATATTTCCCTTTTATACTATTAGCTAGCTAGCTGAAATAATATATTAAGTAAGACCTCTTTTATAAATACTTTATCTTCTAATAATTAGAAAGTAGTTTTAAAGTATCTAGATAAATTGCTTATAGGCTAAGTATATATTATAGGTACTAGGTAGCTATAGGGTATCTATCTAATAGTCTTATAGGATTATACTTAAACTATTAGTACGGTTAGACTATAAGAACAGTTAGATACTTATCTATCCCTGGCGCTAGGCTTTTTACAGGGAGTAGGGAGAATTAGCTACTACTAAGATAATTATACTGTATTTTTAACTAACAGTAGAGCTACTATACTTATACTAGTAGGTTTCTATATAGAGTATATACTAGTATAAAAGTATAATCTGGGTTTTTAATAAGACTCTACTTATAAGGCTATCTAAGGGTATTATAGTAGTAATAGGTAGTAGTAGTATCAGTATAGATTAACTGCTGGACTGTCTGTAGTAGCTTTATATATATATCAAGCTTTCCCCTTATTTCTATTAATATCTAAGAGTATTTCTTTCTTTCCTCTTAATAATATTCCGAATCTCCTATCCTATAATATCTATCTTAACTAATAATTATATATTAAAGAAAGAAGTATTTATAGTATATAACCAGGTAGATACTTTAGTTTAGTAGATAGAGATAACTTTTAATACTAAAACTATACTAGAATAATAGTCTTTCTCTATTAAAAAGGGGTAATCCCAGATAATAACCTAAAAAGTAGATTACCTGCTTTATATAATCAGTATATAATTACCTGGATCTATATACTATCTATAGAGATAGCTATAGTCTGTACTATACTAGATAATATCTACCAAGACCTGCCCAGGTATATAAATAATACTAATACCTATATACTCAGTAATATCCAGTACTATAATATTATTATTATATATTTACTAATAGCCCAGTACAGAATAAATAATATAGTAAATATACTGACCTACCTTATCCGAACCTTCCTATCTATCTATCTTAGTTTAATAGTAGGAATCAGAGGTAGAGTACTAAGTAAGATCAATATATATTTAGGTAATATTATTATTAGGATAAAGGTAATACAGTATAACCTAGGGAAGATTATCAGAGATAGACAGATTCAGTATACTGTAATCCCGAAGAGCCTGTATTACCTGTTGATTTTAAGAGACTATAGCCACTATAAGTTAGTGGGGTCATGAGCGAGATAGCGGTCATGACCACTAACTGCTAGCGATCGTAGCCACTGGCTATTAGCGATCAAACTGGCTGTTAGAGATCGCTGCTAGCGATCC